TATAGTAAGCCAGAAAAATGTCTTAGTACCGGCGCTTAACATTTCATCGAGTTGCTCTTACCAACACGCTCAAAAAATGGCATCGTTCCTGTAGCACGGCACAGAGTGAATGAGCAGAAGATGGGGACAGTCTTAATAGCATCACTCAACCACTGGCAACACTATTTTTGTAAAGAAGCAATCACATTTATGGTAAAAAATCTCGTGACACATCACTTGCGCATCGTCTGCACGAAATTCCTATTGTGAGACAACAAAGGTAGCTCTTTGATTGAGAGCAGTTGAGGGTTTGTTTATAGAAGTGTCACCTTCTTAATTTCGCTTCATTAGATTACCTTATTTCTGCTTTTGCTTACAAGTGAACACGCATTGTAAATTGGATCGCACATTGACATTAGAGTACAAGATTGGCAGTGTACCTATGAAACCTTTCTTCTAATATAAGCTTTGTTTTTCTGTGGTGTTTTAGGCGTTCGAAATTTTGCACAATATGATTTACCAACTAATCCGGCAAAAAGTACTGTTGTGATGCTCCCGGAGCTTGTCACAAAGAGATAGTCTACTTTGGCCAACGGAATTGCTACCAGATGTCAAGGGCAGATTTTAGGTTTTTAACTTTGAACATTCAACTGAAAAATAGCAAAAACAAAAAACTTCCATCCAAAGTCATTAAAAAAAACTTAAGATGTCAAAGCCGGTGCAGCTTCGAAAGGTCGGGTTTCTTTGTGAAATAAATTTTTGGTAGAAGCTTGCTCACCTCTTTAGTTTATATCGCAACCATGAAGACTTGAGCCAAATCTGTTTCTTTAATTCAACAAAAAATGTCTGATGCTTTTTATTTCACTCACTCTCCCCGCGGGCACACGCTTTCGTTAAACTATGCAAAGGATAGACAAAGTGACCGAACACAGAAAAAACAACTTTAAACCTAGCGTGTTCATCCTTGCATTTAGGACGATGTGGAAAATGAACCATCAATGTAGAGAATAACTTCTCTTGCAAGATTTGTGGGCGGCATAGTAACTGGTTCTGGATGCCCAGCTGATTTCAAAGGCATGTTCCTTCGGGACTACTCAATCCAGATGCTCACACGTTGTCTGCTAGGCCGATACCAGATAGCTCATGCCGGTAATTCACGAAAGATCACTTTTTCACCGTGGCGTTTACTTGACTGAGAGTCAAGTGAGCTTGGGCGCCTAATGTTACTCGATTCTCACTGCTCCCTAGTGGCATACCAGATTAAGTGGAAGCCTGGAGCTCATGCACTAAATAGCACAAAACGCCACTACACTGCTTCCGGGGACATAGGTCATCAACCGTTCCCTTTGCGAAGCATAATATGTGTTGCCACTTTGAAAAAGCAAGTGTCAGAAAACGAGGAGCTATGGCAGGTGATTTTACCATTTGAGAGTTTAAAGAATGAAATCATTGTGAAATAAAAAAGTACAGCTCCATATGCGGCGCGATTTCTGCGATCATGGCCTATGTTTTGAACAGGTGCTGTTAAAGTCACAAGTTGAATGCGGACTCTCAACTTGAGCAAGGTGACAGGCGTGAAAAAAGCGGCCTGTGGTCAGTTGGTTCAGCTTGTCTGTGTATTCGTGGACGGACTGTTGTTACCCTAATATCCGGCTGCTTAGCTCTGTTTCTTTCTTCTTTACTCTGGCCTCTTAATTCGGTAGCAAGCAGAGTAGAGGCCGAATAGCTATGCACATGTAATACCTATGGGCTCCCATTAAGCTTTGGGACGTTATGTTAGTGTTGCACACGTCAGTGATTGCGAGGCAGTGTTCCTATTGATAGACTCATTTGTAGACTGTTCGAATGCAGCGCACTCCCATTTAGTGACACCATTTGCCATGTTGCCAAACATGAAAGGTAGTCTTAAGCCACCACCTATAATCTATAAAATAGTCAAGTTAGAAATGACGACTACGTACTAGAGTGTAGTACGAAGATTTATTAGGTGACCAATTGTTCTGTCTGATGACTGCAAGCACGCTCCCCAGAACACCAACGGAAGCTGTAATTTCACAGAGCTACAGCCGCACAGTGCCATTAAGGCTACAGCTTTAAATGCCTCAACAAAAGCAAACAATGATCGCCGGCGGCGTCCGGCATCTTCTCGCATCGGCGGCGTGAACACGAGAGATGGAAGAAGTCATCATTACGCAGAAACTTCATCATATGACGTCACATATCATAAATGTTTGTGACGTATCGGAAGGTCTCTTAGCTTCACGGCATCATATAGCATTTTTGCTTAGCTGAAATGGGCCGATCATGAGAGCAGTGCATAACCACCTGAAGGGCAAAAAGCTAGCTTTGTCTCCAACGCTTGAGGCACTGAAAAAACTATGTTGGGTGCAGGAATATGCTGCAGGGAAGTAGGAAACATTCAGTGCATTGAATGGGAAGAAAATCAGGACAGTTCTTGCCTTTCATTCGTCTCAGGTGAATGCATGAGGGCACTGGCGAGTTTTTTTCCTAACTAATAAAAAATGAAAAAAAAGACAGTCTGGTTTTTTTTTTCGTCAGATATTCACAGCGGTACACAGCAGTATTATGCATTGCGTCATGCAAATGATGAGGTCGCAATAGCTTGAAAGACAAAATAAAACACGAGTGCTGTGAAACTCAAACGCATATATCGAACGGGGAGCCGGTTCTGACGAAGCCCGGTGAAAACATCACACCGCTATGTTCCTTTTACTTTTCATTGCCGCGGTACCCAAAAAGGCTGGCGGGAAGCATGAACGCAACTTAACTTGCATGAAAACACGAATTTGCGGGGTTCCTAATTCGTGAGGCGTCCAGCGCCAGCTTCTCGTATCCGGATATGCCCTTTAGATTGGGCGGTGGCTCCCGCTACAAAGCCATAAAGTTAAATACTGTCACTATGTGTTTAAGGATTGAATTTCACTCGCACCTTGATTGTAGCCACCAATTAGCCTCCCCCTGTTTATTTCTACCTGTTTCAAGTCTTCTTATCCTTTACTGTCGCTAAACCTCAACACTCTGAAAAATTCCGCGCAATTATCTTGGACAATTAGGAGGAGCCCTATACAGAACATTATCAAATGTTCAGTCGTTTTCTGCTTTTCTTCACACGCACTACATACTCTGTATGGCCTTTGTATTTGGCTCGGTACGTCTTGGTCCGCAATACTCCCGTTCTGGTCTGAAACAGCAGAGAACTACCACAAGAATTATCGTAGATCTTTTCTTTTGCAATTTCCTGCTTGAAAGTTCTGTTGGTCTTCAGTGATGATTATGTAAGCATTCCAATCTTCCACATGTCCGTCTCTGTTTCTTTCACCTTCTTTTTAACCAATGTTTTCTTTTTGGCTTGGTATTCTGCTGTTCTCCACATACTTGCTTGACAATTTACGAGTTCGCTTCCTACATTTAGTATCAGCATTATTCATGTACAAGTAGCTGAAAAGTTTCCTAGCCCAACGCTTTTCTCCCTTTTTTCTCAATCGCCCCTCAAGTTCTTTCATGCTGCTAGCTTCCCTGCACTCAAACGATGTCTATATTATGTCACCCTGTACCCACTGATCTGGGGGTATTCCCCGTGTTCCCAAAGCAAGTCTACCTATGCCATGTTGTTTAACTTCCAATCTTGCTTGAACCTCTCAAATAATGCTCAAGACCGCATTGCCGAATGTCCAACCTCGGACCATGACACTTTTCCAAATCCTTCTCACAACATCATACCTATTGTTTTTTCACAGTGCCCTATTTTTCATTACAGCTGCATTCTTGTTACCCTTAGTCAACATGTATCATTCGTGTTTCCTTAGGTACTGAGCTTCTTAGTCCACTCATGCAGCGCCGCCATGCGGAAGTGGCGAGCGGAAGCAGAGCGCGCGCTTGACGGCGTGAAGAGAGCGTTTGCCCGGGCACATAAAAAAATAGAGAAAGCGCTCGTCAGGTGCACTTTAGGGGCTGAGCTGTCGCGTGCTGGCGTCGTCGATTGGAATAACTCAGGCAAAACCACATACAGGCCATAGCGAATTGAGCACGCGCTAGCGCCTAGAGGCCTGACCCCACGCACCCGTTGCAGAATGCCAGCGCGAGGCTTTTTGACGGCGCGTCGTGTGCTCTCCCTACGAAGAGAGTTTGCAAGCAGCTTCGCATAGCCACGTGCCCTCTCTCTATCTAGGGAGAGGCCACGACGACGCTTCAAAAAGCTCCGTGCTTCAACGGGTGCACGTGATGAGGCCTTAAGAGCAGTCTTTCTCCTTCGAATTTCTTGGTGTCAATATTAACGCGCCTTGTTTCTCTTGTTCTTTTAGCACTTTCATGATGATATTACCAAAGGCAAAACCTCATATGACATAGCAAACTGCAGCATATTGAGCGCGCTCGCACCAATCAGACGTCGTCTTGCTCTTGTTATTGAAGTGCCTCAATGACAACATTAGGTTTGGTCACTGCTACTGCAGTAAGGACACACTACAACAGTAATGACAAAGAAGTGAAAAAGGAGGCAAGGTAAATATAGCAAGGGAGGAAATAAAAGAAAAAAAATCAATTAAAATACAATTAAACAGAAATAAAGCGAAAAAGTACAAAAGAGACAGTAAAGAAGACCAAAAAAGAGGAGAGAAGAGATCTTCACCACTAATTGGCAAAGGTGCCTTATTCCATTCCCCCATAAATGGCATAATGTCATGATCCCTATTGACGTGATTTTTTGTATTGCTCGCGCTGACGCCTATCTCAATGTTCATGTTTTACGTCTGGTAGAGGACATAATGCTTTCCTATTAAAATGAATAGAATGGCAAAATGACAGCAGAAAGACCGAGGAGATTGACGGGATTGTGGGTTTATGGTCAACTGACGAATGATGAATACATTAAATACAGCCTTGTGGTGCTCTTTCTGAAAACTGTGCGTCTCTATCATTAGAGCCGTGTATCAGCAGTTCTAGAAAGCCCACATAGAGTAAACATGCGAATAAGGCATTAATTATTTTATGGCCTTTTCCAGAAACCTATGGCATGCGTGTTACAAACTGTCTCGTGCGTGACGGTCTCAACTGGGGCGAGCAGCCACTGATCAACAACGAAGGGTGAGTCATTCTCTGAGCATGAAGACGACATTACCAGATAAATCTCCTACGAATTTCGCTATTCGTCTATAATAAACCTTTCATAACAAAAAATAAAGGCAAACGATCCTAGTGGGTTAATAAAACATTCCAAAGGGGTCATGAAAATTACTTGCTTCAAGACAACGCCTCTATTCTCCGCCAACCAACCTCGATTTACACGTGCTCATGGGCATGTATATGAAGTAGCGTGCCGCTGACTCTCAGAAACAGCTGGAGAATGCCAGTATTGAAGCCTAGGAAAGCTTCGCTTCAATCTTTTTTGTCTGCGAGTTTGCGAGTTCTTTATGCATGCCGATAAAGAAAATTATTGACACTAGACTACATTGGTGGATGACCACACAGAGGCAAGTCAACAACACATTATGGGATATCGAAGGGGGCGTTGCGGTGTTGATAGAGCTTTTTCGTATAATGTTACCCACAATGATGGCTTGAAGGTATATTACTCTAGAAGTTTTTCGGGATGTGAAACAAGAATGCAATTCCGTCAGTGAGGTATCAGGATTATGCAGTCTATTAGAACTGGGCTTCTTTGCACAGATGTTGCATAGCTGATTTCTTGAAGGGAAGAACAGTATTCACTGAGAGCAGTATTCACTCTATAATCACACGATACCGTAATAATCGCTGTCTACTGGATTGCATCGACTACATGTAAGAATGTTCCAAATTTCTGAGAACTACAAATTCGAGAGCATGTGTCTCAACTGACTTCAACAAGCAAGCGCAGTTGCGCGAAATTAAGTCCCGTGCACACCGGGCGGCGGGGGAGAGGCAGTGAAGATCGCAAAAGTGTGGATAGCGGGAAGGTTGTATACACAAGTTGATTGGTAAGGCTTTGCATAATGGGTATACAGTCGATTTAGGAGACATGGTGCCAGGATTCTGACATGTGGATACCAATATCATAAGCTGGGATGTCGATTTTGAACTGTGCAATTGTTTCGCAGCTGTGATTCAATACATGGTTACTGGAGAGGTGGGCGGCGCAGTGAACATCGCAATTGAAGTGTGTGGGGATTGGGAGGGAGGTTGCATACACAAATTGAAAGGTAACGCTTTGCATAACGCATATACAGTCATTTCAGGACACTTGGTGCTAGAATTCTGACATGTGGATACCAATTTCCTAAATCTGGACGCCGATTTTGAAGTGTAGAGTTGTTTCGCAGCTATGTATCAACACATGATTACTACACAAACCATTTCATGCAACAATAGTATAGGGTAGTCACACCTGTGTGGCGCACGAAGGATACTTTCTAATAAAAGATATGCGAAGTAAAGACACTGAGGTGCATGGCGCGGGCCGTAAGGAAAAGGCTGCATGTTTAAGAGGCCTTTCATAGAGTGATTTTACTTGCACAAAAAAAGAAACACCTAGAGAAAAGACACCTTAAAGCAGTTCCGCTTGACTTGGCTTCATTGTTTGGCAGTTGTCCCGTGGACAGCGAGATCCTGGGACCATTCGAGTACACGATGAACAAGACCCGAGCTTCGGTCACCTTCCAGGCGCACAAGTTCCCCTACACCTCGTCCGTCTACTATCAGTGCAATGTGCGACTGTGTCTCAAGTCAAGCGGTGGCTGCGACGACGTGGTGCGTATGCTTTCGGGTTCATTCCGTGGAAGTCGCGTCATTGTGGTTTCAACTTTGCATTTGCTGTCGATGTGTCTTTTCATCAATGTAGGTGTCAAAAATTGCCTTGTGAGGAAGTTTGCCAACAGGCATAAATAATCAAAAGGTCAGTTTTGCCACACGGGTCAATCAACAAACTTCAAGTGAAGTAACATATTGCAATGTCACACAAAGAACGGCAAGCAGCTCAAAACTTTTGCGCGCTGTTCAAGCTCAACAAATGATGAAAAAGAGCACACAGGATGAGTGCGAACTGTTGCAGTTGTTCACTAAACCAGCCTCCGATTTGGCTCGTTAGCTACTCATCGTGCGAACTCGGCCGCCACTGTAGCGAGCGAAGTGAGCTTGGTGTGGTTTGTGGCTTCACCCCAAATGTTGTCATAAAGGAACAAGATGTACAAAACGGTGGCCACAAAATGTAAGTGCGAGCACTGATAAACATGAATATGGTTGCGCACACAGACGCAGACACTAGAACAGGAAATGCACAGATGAAGAGCGCCTACTTGCAACTAAAGTTTATTCGAAAATAAATCTAGAACATATGTATCACTTCTGTCACATCACCCGGAAGGTGAGACAGCAAAAAACACAGAACGGGGCTATAAAACACGTGGCTCAAATCAGATCTTTGAGTGCTGATGAGTTATGAAAATTCATTTTCTGTTAACGTGATGGAGCGTTCGCTTATGCATTTCTTTCCACTTCTCCTATTGTGAAACCTCTCTTTTAGCACTCTGGTGGTCCGATCTTGGTGTTTTTATAAAACAACAGCATCTCATAAAAATGGGTTGCAAACGCACGAGCTACAATGTTTGGGCAAGTGTGAACTATCTGTTATGTGCAAAGATATCCTATGTTCTTGCAACCTGGTGTCGACACATCCTCCGGTTCGGCCTATGTAGATGTGGCTATGGCACAATGGTACCGAATAAACAACAGCTGTTTCACACGTACACTTAACATACGACTGCGGTCACATCAAACTCCCTTTCGACCCTTAGCGCTTTGCGCTAATTTCTTATCAATTCTGCTACATAGCTTGATTAGTTTGTTTGGGGCTGAAAAAACTACCCCAACGTCACATCAATTTGCAATGTTTTTTATACTATGTGACAGCTTGTGCATGTAGGGGATGGCAGAGGGCTTTTTAACTGGTTCCGGTGAAAAACGTTCATGTGTCACGATCACACATTTGTATTATATGTCGCTCATATGTATCATGGGATGACATAAACTGCCTACAAAAAAGTGGAGTATGCATTGGTTCACGTTTGGCACCCATTCTCAGCAACGTAATTCTAGCACATCATGATCGAGTCTTGCCAAACAAGCTTGACGACTTTGTAAAATTTAAAGTTTGCCGTTTTGTTGATGATTCGTGTTGCCAAAATGTGATAGTCGGAATTCCCAGGTCCTTCCCTCTGACGCTTTGGCTGTTTTCTGAGAGCGCATGAAACCGCTTGTCCTCACGTATGAATCGTCAACTGAGAAAAACCTACAATTTTTTATTTGAAGATTTTGCTAGAATCCTCTGATGTTTGTTGAATGTATGAACCAAAAAATGGGGCAAGCCATTTTCGCCTTCCAGCTCAGCTTACTTAAAACTCGTTTAGTGGAGCATCGCTAGCTTCTGCCTTGCCAACGCCTTAAAGAAGTCTTGCCCCCACATGGTCCAACATAGCTTTGCTCTACAAGTGTAGCGTCTGAACAAAGCTGGTTATCGCACACACGTTCTAGTTTCGGTGGCAGAAATGCTGGTCATTGTTGGGAAGAGAGCAGACAAACAGGAAAAGCGCAACAGTCTTGGAAAGAGCCGTCCTGTCGTACTACCTTATGTGCACGACGTCTCGCACAAGCTAAAAAAGATTGCTCGTTCCGCCATCGTTGTGGTGATTTTTTCTGTACCAAAAATGACTTTTGAAATTGCGTTAGTACACCCCGTGCAAACTCTGCCCCGTACTGTGTTGCGCACAGGTCACGATACATCCCATGCGCAGCGGGAGTCGATGATCCACTTGATTTCAAGGACGTGTGGTAATGTCTATGTCAATCTAACCAGCAGAAGCACAAATGACCGCCTCCGAGAGCGCCGAAATGATGGGCACAATGTGATACAAGGGCACCTTGGTATCTATTGTCGGGATCGGTGTTGCACCCCTTTCTTGGACCAGTGCTTTATATTGGCATGGCAGAGGAATCAGCTTAGCTGCAAAGTAATTAAAGCTGAAAAGATACACTTTCTAGGTGATAACTACAAATGTACCTCATCTGTTGCTTTATAGCAGTTAGAATGTGATTACCTGGCTGGGCTTTGAGGCAATCGAGGAACTGTCACACGTGCTTTGATAGAGACGCATATATTAGGGTTGTATTTTATCCTCCTGCTCTGTATCATCCATTTCGACGCATATATATTTTGATACTCTGCAAAATAAAGTTAGCTTTGGTAGTACACTGAAAAAAAAACTCGAAGAAATGTTACATTTTATAATAATTTAGAAAAAGTTCTTTTTCGTGGCAACTAGTTGAATGATACACGTGTCTTGCAGCCTCCCGACTGCAGTGATGTTCGCCACAGTGTTCGTCGTCGGCGTGATGTGGAGGCCAAGGGAGACCTGACTGCCCTGGAAAAAGCCGAGCAAGATGTTCGTGACCTCAGCATTGAGGTCTTCTCTGGACTGTACGTCAACGAAGTTACCGATGCGGAGGATCCAGAAGGTGAGAAGAATATAGCTTCAGCGAAATCCCGTTTTGTGTGTGCTTTTGTGTGACTTTAATTTTCTACGTGTTAAACAGAAGGAAAGACAGGACTGTTAACCAGTCTCGAAAAACTGAATCGCTACCCCACACGTGGGGACAGGGTTAGGGTGAAAGCTGGACGCTACATCAATCACAACGAACGGACATAATAATAACCTATGAGAGTTTTTTTCATGCCAAGAACACCATATATTATGAGAGATGCAGTAGTGGAGGGGTCCAGAAATTTCGACCATCTGGTGCTATTTAAGGAACTCTGACATTACAAAGCACATGGACCACTACCATCTCACCTTCATTGAAATGTGACGGCCACACCCAGGATCGAACCCGCAACCTTCGGGTGAGCCACGGATTTACCGAGGACAACAATCAACTGCCAAGAAAAGTTTAGGGTATTGCAGTAATTGTAATGTGAATATATTGTAGAGGGCAAAATGAAAAGTTGCCACCACCAGTGCCTGAAACTTAGTGCCTCGAATAATGCTACGGTGATCACCCTTCCGTACATTTTGTCAGACATATCTGTGCATTTAAAACTTGGAAGTGTTCTTATTTACCACTGGTGGCCTAGACGGCGGGTATGACACCCGCCTAGAAGTAAAACTAAAGAGAACATACACATAAAAGGGTGTGCTACCGGCAGTTTACAATGATCCACTGAGAAAAGTTTTGAATTTGTTTATAAAACATTGCGATACTTAATGCAAAACAGGCGAATGCTACAAAATGGCGACATAGAAAAAAGGCGCACAGGACAGGCACTCAGCTTTCACCTCAGGTTCATCATGGATACATGAAAAACTTTATAACAGCAACCAGCAGCCCAAGTAACCACGGATATCCGGTAGGCATACGATGGGACGTACATTTCTGATATTCTAGACATCCATCAGATGTTTAGGGATGTACACTGTACGTAGATCAGATGTACAAAGGTAACAATTTTTTACATTTGCTCGACATCCCTTTAGCACAACCACCATGGACAGACTCTTAGAGAATATATATATATATATATATATATATATATATATATATATATATATATATATATATATATATATATGGGAAAGAAGTGTATACCTAAGGGCTCGTTCTTCCGTGTTTTTAACACAATAATAATGAGATCTAACAGACAGTAATGCCAAGGAATGTGCAGGGGAAGTTATTAGAACCAATGGAATGTAAATAAGAAGAAAGAAAAGTGGATGAAAAAATAACCAGCCGTGAGCAGGAATCGAACCTACGATCTTTGAATAACGCCTTCGATGCTCCTGCTTGCCGTGGTAATATATATATATATATATATATATATATATATATATATATATATATATATATATATATATATATATATATATATAAGTTAGTGCATATTCAACAAATACCTTTTATGAGAACAACGTTCCAACACAGCCGGAGAGGCCCGTAATTTTTCCATGGGAGCTTTTCTGCTGCAAATGACTTCTAAAAAAAAATAAGTCCAAGTGGGCTTTCAGGAATAATCAAACATTCATTATCAACATATATCAAGGCTATGGAGCACATAACTAAATCCGCAGCCGCGATTGTGAAAGTGTGCACGTAGTTTTATAAGGTTTAAGTTTTCATTGCCCTTCCACCTTCAAGTGGGATGACTTCTTAGGTGGCAGCAATTGTTTCTTTGCAGGTTGATTAAAATATTAGCAACAAACCCCACCCGCACGTGTTTACAGCAATGTTATTCTGGTCACCGCATTATGTACATACGGACAAGCACAGAAGAAAAATTATTGAGTGTAGTACAGGCTTCCAAAGAAGGTGCGGAGGCATTGACCAAGAGCTCGTCCTAAATCGGTTATTAGCAAAGAATATGCGAGCAAATGAAGAACTGGAAACATGCCACATATTAGCAGAGCTTATACAAATGATGGGCCATAGTTAACGTGTTATAAGAATAGATAAATGCCCGATATTAGATGTAAAAAACAGATATGTAACACGGCTTTATCTGTGCCGGGCGAGTGAGTGCGGTTGCTCCTGCTTGCCGTGGTAATCTCTCCGGAAAACAGTGGTTGGCTCATGCCACGTGGCAGTGTTTCTTGTAAAGAGTATTCCTTCATAAGTTCACATATTGCTGTTCATGTCCACAAGGGCGCACTTGAAAAAAAAAATCTGCCTTCTGCCGCTCGGAGCCTCGGAAACTGGTTCAGCATACACACAAATGACGCGACACGAACATCCTCTTTTCCCGTGCTCCTTCCTTCTGCGCACCACTGGTCTAGCAGGTTTCGGGACAATAGCCTCAAGAGTGCGCATTTTCTCCCAACACATCCAGAGGTGCATGGCTAGTATGACCTGTGCATTCGAGGAATGTGAGCAATTGCTGTGCACCACTTGCTGAAAAGTGTCAAGGCTGGCCCATAAATGTTTGCCGACATTCGATAATAATAACACTAAATACATTGTTTCTTATGACATACGATACAAGTATTGAATCAACTATATTGTTTTGCCGCATAAAGCAAAATTATTTGGCATCCTGAGATCAAATGCATGAGTCGAAGTTTGAATGAATTTGATTGTAGCATTTTTAATGAAACTTTACAAGATTGTCACCTTGGATTTGGCAGATCTCGGTATATTTTCACTACATTCTAATTTTGCAGTAATAATTGAGAAACTACACATATCCTTGGCTTCGCCTTATGTGGACAACCAGACAACATTCAAAACCTAAAGTCCAGTCGGAAATTCAGTTTGGACATCCAGAAAACAGCCACACGGGACATGCATTTTTGCAGTACGTTCATTGGCTGTCCATGTTGAATATCTACACAGCTGGGGTGCTCCGCCGCGGTGGTCTAGTGGCTAAGGTACTCGGCTGCTGACCTGCAGGTCCCGGTATCGAATCCCGGCTGCGGCGGCTGCATTTCCGATGGAGGCGGAAATGTTGTAGGCCCGTGTGCTCAGATTTGGGTGCACGTTAAAGAACCCCAGATGGTCTAAATTTCCGGAGTCGTCCACTACGGCGTCTCTCATAATCATATGTGGTTTTGGGACGTTAAACCCCACAAATAAATCAATCAATCATTACACAGCTGGACATTTGTATTCGTAATAGACAGCCAGCGGATATCCGCTGTTACTTGGGAGGAGTGCGAATATATTCATCAGTCGTTCACCCAATGACAAATGTGCCAGGACCTTACCAAGAACATTACATCATCGCCGCCCTCCAATGCTGAATTCTACTGCTCACGGGCAATAGAAAACGTCGAAGATTAAAGCACAACAAAACACTTGCGTAAAAATATGCCTAGAAAAATGCATGCCCAATCAGCTAAACCTAAACATTAGAAATCCTTGAGAAAGCAAGCGCCATCCAGAATAAAAACGCTAAAAAAAAACAGCTCATTCAAGTGTGAAAAAAAATACACTATGATTCAGGATTAAAAAAAACGGCTGGAGAGTCTGCACACCTGCTGAACAGAATAAGAAAACAACTTAAGTAAGGACTGTGTAAGTTGAAGAAACATTTTTGACAAGAGCACAGAAAACAAAAGAAAAGCTTTATCACTGAAGTACCCCATCAAGAGCCACAAAAGCACCAACAAGAGGACAATATAAACATATATATATTTATTTAATACTTCTTTATTTCAAACATACAGCCAATCTCAATGGAAATTTTTGCAGGAAGGGCATACACAGAACAAAAGTATACAAGAGTGTTCAATTCCCAGTTAACAATTTGGTGAATTAACAAGAAAGTCTCACATAAAATTTAACAAACACACCTGAAAAGCAAAAAAAGCATTCATACAAAGGACACTAAGCACGCGGCATGAAAAAGAAGTCGTAATGATGAAGGAAGGGTAATACATAATGAAGGTGTAAATTGTTCACGACAGGATGAAAATGATATCATTACATAAAGCAAAATGGTAAGGTTAGTACTATAGACAGAGTTTATGTTTGAAAAGCACATAGATGGTTTTCAAAAAGTGACGGGAAGTTACCTTCGTTATTACAGGTAGTCATGTATGTAAGAAGACTTTTCCATAACCTGATGACTTGTGGAAAGAGGAGAATTTCAAACAGTCAGTTTTGAACCAGTATTCTTCAAGAAATCAGGGTTGATTAGGATGACAGGGCCTAGTTTCGCTTGTTTAAATAACAAGAAGCTGCACCAAAAAAAGAATGAAGAACGAAGTAATAAAAATGAATAAAAATGTGCTCATTCATATGAACAAAGATAACAACACCAAACCTGTATGCCACATAAAGCATGGAAGCTCATAGATAAGCTTCTAGAAAAGCGACTTCCTTGTCACAGAGTGTTAAAAAGGTACACTTCTTCGCTCTTCACCAGACTTGTTGATATGGTATGCTTCTACATTTTCCCTTCCTGTTTCCTGTTGTGAACGCTTCTGAAAGGCAGTGTGCGTGAACTTCGAAATGCACCCTCATCTTTTAGAATGCTCTGCATGGTGGCCACCAGCGTCATTATTAATTGACAAAAAAACGTGGCCACAAGTGCACTGCTTTTCTGCAACGCAAGATTGCACGCACGCTCGCTCGCTAAGGTGGTCGTTCAATCAGCGGCTGATTTGCCCCATGCAAAAACAGGCACACGACAAAGTTATGTCATATAGAACGGTGCCAAAACATTTGAAGCATTTTTTTTGTGAATATTGATCACATGCGCACTTCGTGTCTTCAGCGCTAACTTGCGTGCACAAGCAACCAAGATTCTCCCACGTTTCCACAATTTTCTGGTGGCAAAAAATAACATAAATACTTATGCTTGCTAAACCGTGCACTTAGAGCATAGTCACGTAGAACAAAGGGAAAGAAAAAATAAGTCAGGTTGAGGAGTGAAGAAGAGGGTAAAGCAGAGTATAGTCACGGATGGCATTACACAGACAGGACTATGTTTAGCATAGACAAGTATAGCGTAGGAAAAGGAAAGGGTTTGTTAGAAGCATACAAATAAAGACAAGTTAATCGCTGCTCAGAACGTCCTACAGCATTGAAATTGAGTGCAACTATGAAATTTGTGTTGCTTTCGCAGTGAGCTCTCGCCCTACTTCGTCCGCCAGCTCTTCGGACCAGGACTTTTGCGTGTCCTCGCGCAAGTTTGCCATTGGCATCGCCATCGCCGGTGTGCTGCTCATGTTGGCAGTGATGCTCCTGGTGGCTTGCATCCTGCATCGCCGTCGCCGTAGGAAGGGTTCTAGCACAGCCGGCAGCTCCATCTACTCTGGGCCTTATTCGAACCAGGGATACTCAAGAGAATAAGCTGTCACCTATGCACCGGGAGTCACTCACCCAACAATATCTTAACCAGATTTTGAAGTCTTCAACTCTGTCATTCTGGTTTCCTGAGCTGACTGCAGCATTAGAAAAGCCAACACAATACACTGTTCTTGCTGCTGAGGTTTGTTAGTCTGTCACATGAAACAGACAGAGTGACAACTATTTCTCCCTAGAAGACACCATTCCCAAAAGCAACAAACTGCAGTTTTCATGCAATATGCAGGCATGCCGCATGCTTTCAAAATGTGCCAATCTGAATGAGTCTTATTTGATCAATTATTTCAAGCCGAATTTTTGCCACTGCAACATTCCAGACTTCAACTTGCCTTACAAATGAGGGTTGACAAAATAGAACAAGTGCTAAGATCACAAACAGATGTTTCACTTGCCACATGAAGTCGTTTGCACGTCCTACCGAGTGACTCCTGGCACGAAGTCGAAAGAACAAGGGTGTTTGTATTGGCATGATTTTTTTCTTAAAAATTTTACTGTTAAAATTTTACAGCAGAGTGCCCGTTTAAGATGTGATAAATTTATTTCAAAACAATTCTTAACTAGCAATTCTGATAATCATCATATACGAGTTACAGTTGTCCATGAATAATTTTTCCTTTTCACAAAAATTATCAGGAGGCTTAAAGTTCTGCCACTACATTTCCGTACACGCGGTAACTCTAAAATGCCAGGTTTTTGGTAGAATAGTCTACGTGTTAAGCAACTCAATGCTCTTATGCTGATATAGTTCCTTTGATTGCATGGGAACATTGAATGAGGATGCCTGGTCAGCTGATCCTTGTGAGAATTGGCACCGTGTAGATACTGGTAGTGGTATTTAGAAACTGGCATTGCATCAGTGAAATGTGATGTCCGTCAGTTCGTGTTTTACTGATCTGTCTTTGAAAATGATACGGGGACATCAAATTTACTTTGCACTCTAACTTTGCAAAACAACTACAGCCTTTATAATAAATTTTAAAAAATGTGTATTTGGCATGAGTATTCATACATGTTCCGTTTTAAATGTTACAGTGTATATTCAACTCATAAAAAAAAATTCAAAAGTCCAGAATAACGAGTGAACTTGACCGAGTAAAAAAAGATCTTCCTTTAACCTTGCTGCACAGCCTGTACCTACCAAATAAAAAAACGCTGCTACTTTATGAATTCGATCAAGCTCTCAGGCCATGGGTTAAAAAAGAAGTAGATATTTAGCAGTATAGTGCCAGTTTATACAAACAGGGAGATCTCAAGTGCCATTTTTAATATGGACTACAGATGTGCTGATAAAAGCCACTACTGACGATTTGCGCTGGAATAAAAAAAGCATGTGTAGATATTATACAAGAAACTTTAAAAGCAACTACATTGCTAGTACTTTTTTTAATATTAAGGTATAGAAAATGTCATATTTTTTTATGGTGAGGCATTGTTGCTGCCTCACCATGTCCTACTCGAGCTACTATCTTCGCAAAATAGAAAAGTTGAAACGGAGACCTTGTCATGTGTGGAGTGATAGTAGCTTCAATTTTATTTATATCAAGAAAAGAATATTTACCAGTGATACCCTAGAAAGGGAACGAAAATAGCAATGAAGATCCAACTTGCCTTCAAAAAAATCTGGTGGCCACTTCTGCATGTTTTTTTTGTTGTTCTTGCTGTTGTTAGGTGGTTCAGGCCACCCTAATCTTTCAAGTAATGTATTGCTTAAACAATGCTTTTTGAAACAGGCTCTCTGTATCCAGTAACTATACGACAAAATTTAAATAGTCATTTTTGTATGCAAGAATGGTCTACCCTTTTTGCTTGTGGAACACAGGTGGCACGTAATTTACAGCCAGATCAGAAAGCTTGCATTTCTTACGAAACAATATCTAGCAGTAATGTGCTTTCATTGACAATGTAAGCATGCATGAATTGAGTTTCAAGTTGTGATGTCTCTTTGTGCATACATTTTTATTATATTCATTGATATAACTAGTTAGGTTCACGACAAAGAACGTCAATGAATGCACATGATGGTGAACCGTCCAGCCCTCATGATAGGCAGCTATAGCCGAGCACTCATAGTGGCATAGTGCCAAACATTTATGTTTAGCTTCTTGCTTAGCTCTAAATTCATAAGCACACTGCTTGTGCATAAAGGCTCCATGCTTGAGCAGCTTTTTCGGTAATGCTCACTAAAAAGTACATTAATCTTGGTAATTGTTCTACTACAATTTGATTAAAAAGTATAACTTCCAAACACACAAATGTTTATTGCTTTTTTTTAGCCATTATTCTAGGGATAAGCATCTCAGTTGCTGGTGAAAGCGAAGATTCATTTGCCACTAACAAAAACACCGTTCCGACCACACAAGCTGACTAACATCAGGAGACATGGAACTTTCTATATTTGCTGAGACATAAATATAAGTACCACATTGATTAACTATTGAGCTGCGTGTTTGCTTCACTGGGAGGTTTTCATAGTGCTATGTAGCCATGCAGATACCAAGGCACTTCAAGCTATGACATCAAATCTGTCCAACCAAGATATGCGAACACTGTGAAATGTACTTTCGGAGACAAAGCTCTAGGCTTACTTCAAACGACCGGTACCCTTAATATGTCAGTTGGTGGGCCCCTGTACATGGACAACTAAGGTCTGCATGGCCTTCCACTTGTATTATTGTTATGAGCCGTAACCACACGTGATTGTTCGTGTGCGTGGTGTTGGGGCCTCGTATTTTGTTTGATGCGTACACATAGGTGGGCTTTCCTTTTTTGTTTTTGCATTTGTCTTGTGTGTGTAACAGTCAAGGGCACTGTGTAAAATGCAGCCATTCTTCGACGGTGCGAAGAGGCGCACAACTGCTCTCGGGAGACTCGTCATGTAGCCTCGGACTCGCACATCATCGAAAAAACATTTTGCACTCGAGTCGTTTAGCTGCTTGTGTTCCTGTTTTACTATAGGAAAATGAAACAGCACTTATTCAACTGCCACCTTGGTTTGGGATTTTTATTACAATATAAAAATGCACTGGAACCCCCACAAAGTTTCTGCATCATGTTGAAGCCTGTTGACAGCGCTCGAATATAACTGGCAGTAAGACTCAAACAATGAGAATAACACTCAGATATAAAGGACTGAAAGTTTTTTCGCTTGGCAAGAATGGTTGTGGCTCATCCACTACTGTTGGTGCACTTATGCACCTGTCCAGGCATGTTCATGCAGTGTATCAGCACTATTAAAATGAATAGATTCACGTGGTGAGCATGATGAATTGGCACGCATGCTTTAATTTGTCTGGGTAGGGGCAGATGTGAAATTTGCCAAGCGCTGTACGTAATTCACAGGAAGATGGGCCTCTCGATGTGCAGTTGAATGCATGTAACCCTTGGAAAGTGGCTGCAGACTGTTGTCAGTGCAGAGTAATGTTTGTTACTTGTGTGTTCTTGTACTTTTGCCATACGGGGGCCATATTAAAGATTACTTGTCTCGACTATCATTTGTCTCCAAGGTCAGTCGTGAACATGCACTAAATGAAATCTTTTGAAACACCGAGTGGTTCTAAATAATTGCCTTTATGTTTCAAGAATCTGTTGACGAACAAGCTCGACCTGAATGTGCATGCTGCCGCTTGAAGACAGCTTCAAATCGACCCTAGCTTCGGAGACGGGCGCTGTTTGCTTACTGCCTCAGTGCACAGACGAATACTCATCAGTGAAACAATTTTGTATGTCAGGGCTTCGTCGTAGATTGCCAGCAGTTAATAGTAAAATTGTACCTAGCCTATACAAGAAAAATCCTTTTTCTTCATATTTTCCTTTAGAACATTTCAGAAGGTTCAAAAATGGGCACATGTGTTAAGATACGTAAAGAAAGTTCCCATACTGCCATCCAGTCTAGCTGTGTTTGTTCGTGCTGTACCACTGCCAGAACCGATAACTGCCTACTTCTCGCTAACGAGTTCTAAGGAGACCAATTGCTCGGGGCGTGATGTTAAAATGCAAGTTGGTTGGTTTAACATCCAGTGAATTACTTATGTATTGAGAATGAAACAGTGAAGAACCCACACAAGGAGACAAAAGGCAGCTGTCTACTGAAATGCTTTATTCACGTGACAGGGCGCTCACAGGGGAAAGGCAGAGTGAGAGGCTCACGTTTCTATGTTATCAAAAGCCATGTCACGCATCTTGATTTTTTTCGGCCTCTTTGGTTCTCTCTTTGTGTGTATGATATTCCCTTCAATTAATAAAATCTTTCAGCTGATCCTGTCTTCTCTGCTACTTTCCAGTCCGATCAAGATTTGATGTCTACTAGCTCACTAACAGGCGATATAGGATTCATGTATTAAAAGGAAGTCACACAGGAAGTGCTATCTAAAACGCTATACGTATCAGTGCAGCTGAGACTGACTGCCCTATATTGTTTTCTAATGCGAAGATGTCACGTTATTTTTCATAAATAATCTTTCCCCATGCATATGTGAAATTTTCTAGCACAAATGTTTATGACACACTTGGTACGGAACGTAGTTATTTCTTTGTGTACATCTACGTGTGAACTTTTTTATGTGAAATCAAATAAAATGTCTTTCAGGGTGCATAGCAATGTCTTATTTGTTTGTAGGCTGCACAATGTTTCCTTCTGAAGGAGTGGGCTGTAATTAAATTTCAGCTATAAGATTTGTTCAGCGGAAGCAATTAGGGCACTCAAATGGGCACACAAAAAAACACAAAAGCAGAAGCGGAGACAGTGAAACCGAGATGATTATCAACAACTGACAGATGATATTCAAAAAATGTCTTTTTGTGTATTTGTAGAGAGCTTGCACAAATGAGCCTTAATAAATGACTCTGCCAAACTTTTTCTTGAAAATCTCCACTGTTCAAGAAAAGCAGAATCATCACTAGTAAAAAAAATGGCAGCATAACCATGGGATGAATGATGGAGAGGGGGGCGAAGCATCTGTCCGTCCATTCGTTCTTACTTCTGTACATCCATGCGTCCGCCTGTGTGACTTGACTATCCATACGTGCGTTTGTTCATGCGTCCACATGTCCATCCGTGCGTCCGTCCCTGCTTTCGTCCATACATTCATCTGTTCGTCCAGCCATCCGTGCATCCGTCCATGCATCTGTCTGTGTGTCCGTTTGTCCATCTAGCCAACACTCCAAGTACCACCATCTCGCATCTTTTCATCACATATTATGTGTATAGAAGCACCGGCATGCAGCCATTTTAAGGACTAAACGACAGGTGGCACACGAACTCTTTCTTACGGCTTGAGCTTCGTGTCTACTTCCCACCTTTAACCCCCTCGAGTTCATGGTATATACTAGTTCACTGTATTCATGGCACTGCTGCGCAACGCTCGCTACACCTTTCTAAAACCAAGGAGATTATGCCCAGCGAGTAAAACCTAGCAACCCTTTCTTGTCGGATAGTGCTCATTGTACATGCCAATGGCTGCTAATTGGGAATGAGAGACAGAAGAATTCGGCTTTTAGGTAACGCGCATGCTGCGAATTTTTCATTGTTCAACAACGACAGGAGAAATCTCTCACTGGCACCACATTGAAGGTCAAAGCGTAAGACATGTTATGTACTATGACGAGGAACGAACAGGTGCCGCTTTAAGAAGAAGCTGCGCTTAAACATTTCAGGACCTAGTTTATGAATACAGTGCTCCTGAATCAGTTTTCTTTCATGCTGCGTATCGCTTTACCTAGGCTTCAACTGAATAATTTCTAAAGATAGGTTTGGAACCATACCGCTTGCAGGTGGTTAGCACCAGTACCACAAGGTAAAATATTTGCATGCTTCTACCAACGGACTTCCATACATCGGCTTGGCCAAGGCTGGAGGTTCAAAGAGCCCTCTTGCACCAGGCGGAGCATGTAATTACTCGAGTCCTAGAATTTACCTACTATGTCCTTTTTTTCTTAAGCAATAAAGATTTAACGTGAAAGGAATAAAGGGTTTCTCATTGGGTTTGACTGTTTTAAGCTGAGGAGCGCAATGTCTACATTGGGTGTTCACGATCACGTCTGCTAAAATCGCGCTGCGGATAGTGGTAAAATTTCAAGTTGAATGCCACTTGCCCTGGTTCTCGCACCCAAAGAGCGAGGGGATGACAAAGACGATGGAGTTGCTCTATGTAGACGTTAATGCTGCACTCTAAAAAATAGTATACCTGTCTCTTTTCGAATGGTTTTGGCTTGCCACATTTACGAATCTCTTTGAGGATCAGAGTCCACGCGCGCTGGGTACCCTCCCATGAAGAGTGAAATCACTCTTTTGTGAAGGATGACACTACAACTTCTGAGGGAGTCAGGCGACTCTTACCGGTGATGCTCCTACATGGGACTCTGGGGCTATTTAAGTTACTCAATCGACCCATGCTCTAATTTTGGGAGGCTACTGCTGGAATTATTGAAGTATTTTTTAAAACAACTATAATAATACTTACCATTGTGTCGAGAAACTGCGGAAACTTGTAGTTTTGTAGTCCAAATTTATCATTATTTTATTAACCCTGCTATAAACAACAATTTCCAAGAGAGTAATACAAAGAGCGCAACAAGATGCATCTGCGCATTTTAATAAGATTATTCTAATTTAAAGGTGGTAATCACCTTCGAACAGCAATGTGTTCCCGCAGCCCACGCCTCGTCATATCCGCAAAGCAGGCGGGTAGTGCGGGGAAGGCACCGCTTTTGGCCGCCATCACTAGGGTCATATACACCAAGTGTGCTTTTGCGTGATACTAAAGTTGAGGCAATTTTTGCAACCATTGTCCGTTATCACGTTTGATTGTGCCGTATTTGTGTGCAGCCATCACAGAAAATGGAAGGGTGACGAGCGTGAGAAAGCCAAACCAGATAAAATTTATTGCTTGCCGAACGTTATTCGCGGTCAATGTAGCAGTACACTGGAGGTTGCAGCGAAGTGTAGTTGCGAGTGATACAGCCGTCTTCGCCATGCTGATTTTAGCAATGCTGTGGGTGGAGTGCCTGAGAGCGGTTCACCTGCGAATGGAAACTCAGTTGAGTTCGGATTCTGACAACTTTCAGTAATTCAGATGTGAACAAAACATGAAAAAAAAAATGGCAGCATATCCACAGGCTGAATGATGGAGACTGGGGCGAAGCATCCGCCCGTTCATTCGTTCTTGCTTCCGTTCTTCCATGCGTCCATCTGTGTGACCGTCAGTGCGTCCATCCGTCCGCCCGTGCGTGCGTCTGTACGTCCATCCGTGCGTCCGTCCTTGCGTTCGTTTATGTATCTGCCCCTGCGTCCGTCCATGCGTCCATCCGTCCACGCAGCCATCCGAGCATCCGTCCATGCATCTGCCTGTGTGTCCGTTCGTCCATCTAGTCAGCACTCCAAGCACCGCCATCTCGCATCTTTTCATCACATAATCCGCATATAAAAGCACCACCAGTCAGTGGACATTCCAAGGACTAAACGATAGGTGGCACACGCACACTTCCTTACGGCTTGCGCTTCGTGTCTACTTTCCACCTTTAACCACCTCGAGTTCATGGTATATACTTGTTCTCTGTATTCATGGCACTGCGGCCCAACGCTCGCTAAACCTTTCTAAAACCAAGGAGGTTACGCCCAGCGAGTATAACCTAGCAACCCTTTCTTGTCAGATAGTGCTCAAAGTACATGCCAATGGCTGCTGCTAGGGAATGAAAGACAGGATAATTCAGATTTTAGTTAACGCGCACGCTGCGATTTGTTTATTGTTCAACAACGCACAGGGGAAATCTCCCAACGGCACCATCTTGCTGGTCAAAGCGTAAGACATGTTGCATAGTACGACGAGGGACGAAGGGGTGCCGCTTTAAGAAGCTTCGCCCCTAAAACAACTACAATATATAACGCAGTCAGTTTCGATTCTCTGGTCTGCTAGAGACGTCTGATAAAAGCACAACACAGATCAGTACTCGACGTTGGACTATTCAAAATAATACACGCGTGGTACACTCCCAGCCAAAATGAAAGGCACGCGCGTTTTCTTTAAGGGCGAAGCCCCAAAGGGCGTGGGTCTGTCCATCCCTTGTATGTATGTACGTGACCACTTACAGTTTCAGGTTTGCCAACTGCCTAATACTTTGCTTTTGCAAACATGCCGCTATACCCCATCATTGATCCACCCTCCTGCATGAATGAAGAATGAATAGACTTTAAAGTTCGGCAGTTTTACCAGGCGAGGTCGGGGAAGAGGGGATTAATGCCTGTCCCTTCCCACTCTCCGTTGATTATGATGGCGGTGCCTCAGGTGACCGCTCGAAGTCCTTGCACCCGGGCGGCATCTTCAGCTTGCCGGACGGCCCAAAGCTGGTTGGCCAGCTCGTCGCTTGTGAGTGCTGCCTCCAATCGGCAGCGCAGCTGACGCCGCCGATCGGCAACAGTGACGGCAGCCGCGGCGAAGGCCAGCCCCTGCTCTCGCGCGGTGGCGGCAGCAGCAATTGGCCTCGCATTTCATTCCTGCCACCCTCCTCAATGAATATTATTATATATGGCTCAACATAGCCGATACTGTGGCACACGGCAATAAAAACTCGGAGCGTACTGGATAAACTACGCTTTAATGGCGACAGAGAATCTGAAGAAGAAGAACACGTGTGTAGTGGGTCAGCCCTTTGCTTCCTCTTCTTTCTTAGGTCCCAACATCTTGTCTAGTACAAATGATATAGGTGCCAGGCCATCGTAGTACACTTATAAATTAGATCGATGACTCACTTGCGCGATCATCCTTTGATCTTCCGATTGCGCCAATCATGCCTCTTACAGCTTATGTAACAGGAGCGAGGTTCAGAAAACTTTCCCTTCGTGAAGACTCAACATAAATTACGATACCGAATCAAGATTTCTCGCACCTGAACTCTGCATAAAATAATGAATGGTGTCCCACGCGTAAATTGAAAGTCTCCATGACAAAATACGTTGCCGTGTACCACCTCTTCTACTTAAACAGGTCTTGTATGGTGCCATCCCCTCTGTGCTCAAGCTGTAAAGAACCCAAAAATATAGACCATTATCTCCTCACATGTCGCAGTTTTAAAAATCAAAGAAAAAGTTGTTTCGAAATTTTATTTTAAAAAACTAGAAATATCACTTACTTCTAATATTTTGTCCTTTGTGGCTGCTTCATTAGGACAGGAACATCTCCGGAGCTCTCTGCGAATTGCTATGTAACTCAAGAAGATTGCCTTGCTGCGCCATTGATAAGCTCTCAATTCTCACTGGCTAATCTAACATTTAATACTTAACTATTACACTGTAATGACTTGATCTTTAGAAGAATTTCATATAACGATTATACCTCAATTATTCAACACTTTTTATTATTTCTCTTCTTTCTCCTTTTTTTTCTCTCAATGTGCTAAATTATTCCCGCCAAGTAAGAACAAAGTAAACCTATTTCCCGAGTCTGTATATTCTTAAGTATTGACTTACATTAACCGCCGGCTTCTTGGCGAATTTCCCTTAGTGGGTCAGAGCCACACACACAAAAAAAAGGTCAAGCAAGCAACGTATACGCGACGTCATGCCGAGTTGCGATAATTTAGCCCCGGTGGAAATTGGATTC